ATACTCTGGTGAATGTTGGGCAAAACACCACCCTGGGCGATTGTGACATGCCCAAGCAGTTTGTTCAACTCCTCATCGTTTCGGATGGCCAATTGAAGATGGCGCGGGATGATACGGGTCTTCTTGTTGTCACGAGCGGCGTTGCCGGCAAGTTCGAGGATTTCAGCGGCAAGATACTCGAGCACAGCAGCGAGGTAGACGGGAGCACCGGCACCAACACGCTGAGCGTAGTTGCCCTTTCGCAGGAGACGGTGAACACGCCCGACAGGGAACGCAAGGCCCGCTTTTGAAGATCGGCTGCGACAGAATCAGCATGATTCAATAAGAGCGACTTGGAATGATGTGAAGTCCAGCCCGTGAGCATGGCATGAGAACCCAATGTGACATGACAAGATGAAAAGGATGACAACTTACGATTGAGCGCTCTTGGAGCCAGAGGCTTTGCCACCAGATTTTCCGCCAGTCATTTTGATTGAGGGTGAATGGGATTGGATTTGGAAGTCGGAATTTGTAGAGATGGAATGATGGATGCTGGTGCAAATGCGCGATGGAAGCTTGGGTTGGCGATGGATGAAGGAGAGAAGGAGTCGATGATGGAAGGTGGGAGGGAAGGGGCAGTTATAAAGGCATGAGAATAGGCGGCGACGGGAGTGGTGGGCAATTGAGTCGCGCCTCCAGATCAACCTTGGAGAAAGCTGTGATGAGAGGGTGCAGCGGGCAGCGGGAGACGAGGCCAAGGAGGGCGTTGGATCACGCTGCCGGGGTTCGGCCAATGGCGGCGCGAGGATGCGACTGATCCAAATCGACTTTTCTGATGAGTTTGACAATACCGGCCTGCATTACATTGCGTTACCATATCTTTCCGCCAAGAAGATTGATCCTGCATTGTGACTGGCTCAAAAACCGGCAAAATCGACACAATAACAATACGCAGAGAAAATCGCGCAATCCGTTACCTGGCGAGCTGGATCAACCCCCCCAGCCAGCAGCTGCCTGCGACTGCCACTTCGCATCAACCCGCGCCCTCCCTCTCGCACTTACGCCTGGTATAAGAGTCGCCGTCACCCACCTTTCACACTTCCATCTTTCCTTCCCTCTTCATCCATCCACCACTCATCACGCTCATACTCCTTCATCAATCAATTCCATCTCACATCCTTCCATCTATCGTCGCTTTTTGCGCAATCAAATTCACCACCAGAAATGGCTCCAAAAGCTGCTGAGAAGAAACCCACCACTGGCGGCAAGGCCCCAGCTGGAAAGGCTCCCGCTGCCGAGAAAAAAGAAGCTGGCAAGAAGACCGCCGCCGCCCCATCTGGTGACAAGAAGAAGCGAGGCAAGACGCGAAAGGAAACCTATTCTTCTTACATCTACAAAGGTAAGCTTCCGATCCCTCGACTTTGGGTCAATTTCGCATCCCATACTGACGCGTTTTAGTCCTCAAGCAAGTCCACCCTGACACTGGTATTTCCAACCGTGCCATGTCCATCTTGAACTCCTTCGTCAATGGTAAGCCACCCCGCGCCTTTCCAGTCGCACTATGTTCTAACTTTTGCCTAAGATATCTTCGAGCGTGTCGCCACTGAAGCCTCCAAACTTGCTGCCTACAACAAGAAGTCTACAATCTCGTCCCGAGAGATCCAGACATCCGTCAGACTGATCCTGCCTGGTGAACTTGCCAAGCATGCCGTGTCTGAGGGCACGAAGGCTGTCACCAAGTACTCTTCTCAAAGCAAGTAACTGGTTTCAATAAATTCGTGGGGGGTACTTGGTTCTTGGTTGGCTTTTGCGTGTGTCTTTTCTGCAAATGGGGTTGGGCACAAACGGAACAATGGTGTTGACACGGGTTTTTCAACACATTACGATGCGTCATGGGAACTGGGGATTATTGACAATGTGATGAGCTGTCGACGGTCATGCTTGCTCATCAACAGCAATCATGCTTTACGAGTCTCTACAGAGAGAAGCTTTCGCGCTATGTACAATATTCGCCACGCTGAAGCATGAAGTCACAGATATTCCAGCTTCATGGACTGGGTTGTGATTCAAATTGAAAGCATGAAACCAATCGTTCATTCTTGGTCCCCTTTTTCGGCGCTGCGTTTGAAGTGATTTTGCCGCCCCAAATCTTTTTATGGTTTGACTGGAACTGGATTGTTTTGGTACGCGTTCTATAGGGGTTACGCGCTAGAGGTGCCACATATTTGAACATTGGACCACGTGAACATAAACAACAGGACTGTTGCCAACGTCGCCCAGAAATGCGAGAGGCTCAAGTCCCAAGCAATGTTCGCCGATACGGGCAGACTTACTTCCCTCCCAAGCATGAGTATGAGTAGGGCAGAATGGGTTCGAATTCCGACCAGCAACACCGACGAGACTGAAGAGGACATTTTCACCGTCTTGTCTCTCGCATAGTCTTTGACCTTTGCCCCCCATTGCCCTTTGCCAAAAATAATCCAGAAACTCCAAAGCCCCCCGACAGTCGTTAGCCGTATTAGTAGTTGTACCCTTCTCACGCGTAGCATAGCATCGTACTCGTCATCCCGCTGACCACATCTTTCCGTGGTCAGGGGACCTTGATCGTATCTTCCTTTCGCGCAAGACCGTCAATATAGGGAGGATCCCTCCCAACATCGCCGCCAACATGCATTGTATTACTTTCCCCTTCTTCAACTTCGCGGTCGACTTTGATTCCATCTTCGTCTGCCTCGCGCTCACGTTTGGCTTGTTCATCCTCCTTGCCCGTGACAGTAATAGTCTCATCATCCTCATCCTCATCATCAAAGGTCTGCACCTCGTCCACTGCCTCTTTCCTCTCCTTTGTCTCCCCAGGCACCGGCGGCTCCTTGTCAAAAACCGACACAATCGCCTTCCCCTTGACCTCCTTTATTCTCCTCTTCCAATCCTCCCAATCTTGCTCGTCCTTGATGAGAAACCCGATGAGCATAGATGGATCCATCTCACTTATCCTCAACCCGCGGAGACGGCGCGTGTGGCACGTAGAGATCTCTTCTTCGGTGTAATCGTTGGGGTCATGGTGATGTTGCAGGGCAGGGCGGGTCTCATGCGGGTCGAGGTAGAAGAAGAGGTCACCCTGACAGCCGATAAAGTAGTGTGATGAGGATGGACGGCCGCCTGCAATGCCAATTGACTGAGGGTATGTGAGACTGTTTCTGAGGGCTTCGTGGTAGACAGGTGTGATTCTGTCCAGCCCTAGTCTTATTCCCAGAAGTATCAATGTAGGTCTGATGGTGAGATCCGTAGCAGAGGCGCGTGCAATGTGGCGAAACTTATCTTCATAAACTTCGCTCGCGGATGGCGTCACGTAGACTCGTAACCCTGCGGCAGCGCACTCGGCAGACAGTTCTTTTATGCAGGAAGCTGTTGCAGAAGGGCCGAACCATTGACCCGGGTGTTTGCCGCAGGCGGAAGCACCGTGTTGGACAAAGCGGTGAATGGAGAACGGAGCGAGTGGGGAGTCGGCGAAGAGCGAAAGGATGGAAGCTTCGCTTTGTGTTTGAACTGAGTGAGGGGAGTCGAGGGAGTAATCGTTTGAAGGAGGAGGAGACGACGTGCGATTGGTATAGGTGTGAGGCCGTCGCCAATTCCTGCCTAGATGGAGCATGACAAGCGCATTTGCCAGAAGAGATTGTCCCGACCGGATCATACATCCCCAGCCCGTGTCGCTGCTGAAGCCATCCCGCTCGGTAAAATTGCGTAGGCGAACGGACAGGGATAAGGATACGCTGGAACCGGGCTCCTGTGAACGAGGGATGGGCGTGAAGTTGGAACGGTAGGTCATCCATATCCGAGATTCGAAGTCGTCGAGAAATGTAATGGGCCATCCGCGATCGGAAGGGTCGTTCGATAAGGAAGGGAGGTTATTTCCGCCCGTCACATGCTGAGCATCGTCAAAACTACTTGTGTTCTGTGCTTGAGGTTCATAAGGCTGCTGCTGTGTAGCTGCATCTGTTGTGGACGACAGAGCACTAGCATCAGAAGGGTCACGCGAATCTGACGAAGACTCGACTTCGACCACATCGTCGTGATCTGTAATTGTAACTGGCTTAGGCGGTGTGGCCTGATACTCCTTTCCCAACAGCCATATAGAGGTGCCGGAAATGTCATCGTACTTTGGTGGAGGGTCATAGAAGTAGCGCACAAAGCGCTTAACATCGACGCCATTCATGACGCCTTGGGCCTGGAAAGGGATGGTGGGGAGAGGGATGCTCTGAAGGCCAGAGGATATTGCATATAGGAGAGCACCAAATGGTGTGAGCGATTGAGGAAGCCGGCTTGTTGGTTGCACCAGGATCAGAGAGTCATCGTCCTTCTGCCTGGACGCAGGTAGGATCAGTGACAAGTCTAGTGGTTTGGAGGGGAGCCGGGTTGCAAACAGAACTCGGAGGGATTCCAGGTTGTCGACGTCGGTCTAGGCGGGGAGCTCTTGCAAGGGTTGTTTTCTTGCTTGGACAATACTAACGATAGTATATGCTATAGCGAAGCAGGGCCTGAGATTGTAGCGCGGACGTGGGAGTAGGAGCATGCAGTGAGGAGCGAGGTGACGTTCACCGCAGTCAAGGTGCAGGCAAGCGGCGGGCGGTGGTGGTGGCAGCCCGGCGGATGTCAGCCTTGCTAGCCTTGCCTAGAGGCATCACCAGGCTTAATTTGGGGGTGGAGTCGTTTATCCAAGCGCCTTGGGGGCCACCTTGGGCCACCAGGGCAGCGGGCGAAGTGTGACTGGTGGAATTTGTGGGTGCGTTTTACGATCGTCACTCGAGCCAGGACTGCACCCGGCGCACTCTGCGTACCCCCAATTCTCAAGCATCGAAACACGACTCTTCATCTTTATCCATGATTCACGGTCAGCACTTGGCAAATAGCTTGTGAATGTTCACTTTACTGTATTTCTACCCTGTCTACTCTACGATATTCACTTTTTTGGTAACCATCTTCACCTCAAGTCTGCTGTCGGAAGAGGGGCAACCCCGCCCATCATGGGTGCTCGCCAACGAGCGCAAGCCCGAAGGAAAGGTGATGGGGGGCAGCAGAATCACTCACCCTCGCCATGGAGACACAGCCAGTCGAGTTCCTCTAACAAAGGTAAATCGAGGGCAAAACTCTTTGTCTTTGCTTCGCGTCCTGACAAGATTTCCCAGTGCCCAATGCCCAACGCCGCGGTCTTCTGCAGGACTGGCAAGACTTCTCAGACTCAAGTTCTCCCTATCCTCGCAACACTGTGTTGAGCATGACTCAGACGGCTAGGAACACTGAGCGTCATGCTATGTCATGGGGATCTACACGACTCAGGGAACAGAGAATCACTTTTATCAGTGCGGGAGATCTAAAGCAAGAAGACATAGTTGCAGTCGCAAAAGAGAACAATCAATCCCAGAAAGAAGCAACATCGTCTGAACAGCCACCGGACAAGCAAGCGGAAGTTGAGAAGGCTCAGCCACGTGTATCAGAGAGCGAGCAGTCACCTATTCATAATAATCCTTTAGTCGAATTAGCCGGACAAAAGCCTCCTGCAAAAAGAGACTCACTTTCATCGCAATCCTCTGAAGAGATCCTTTTTACCGGGCGACAGAACCCTGCACCGAAGCCTCCCGCTGAAGCGTTCCTTCCCAGCTCAGAGCCTACGATTCCTCGCGAACCTAGATCTGTGAAAAAGAAGCCTCCAACTCAAAGCTCTCTCCCCACCGCTGGTATCACCACTCGCGAGTCCAGCTCGTCCGGTTTGGACAAATTCAGCAATGTCTTGCCTCCACGTCGAAACAAAAATTTCGACCGCCACGGTCGTCCTCGAGGTCGACCCGAGAGCCTTCGGAGAAGAGAAGAGGAAGAAGCCATCATTAATGATTACATTGCCAATCTAGCAGTTGACGACGACGACAGTGACGAGGACAAAATCCCTGAAGATAACCACACGGTCAAGACTGGGAGAAGAACTGAACATTTTCGATTCTTTGATGGCGCTACTGAGCAAAAGGTCCATTTGCGACCCAACCAAACCAAGACCCCTGCCAAAGGATCTAACAACGTCGACCAAGCCATCGATTGGAACTCTACCGATCTGCAAGATTTTGATGACTTCAGTACCACCGACGAGGAGGTTGTTGAAATCAGCCATGTTCTACGATATCGCACACGTCCGAGCGGTCCGCAGTACCTCGTGAGCCCACTTGGCAAAGGCACTGGTGATCCTCGCTGGGTCCCACACGGAAAGCTGAACTCGGCCTCTGCTGTCAAGGAGATCCGTATCTTTGAGGAAATACGGGCCATGAAAGTCCAAGAGACTACAGGAGACTCGACGAACTCGGAATCCTCAGACGCTGACGAACTGTTGGATGACCTTGATGATGAAATAGAATCCGAAAATGAGGAAAACGACCGCTTCTTAGATCGTACCGCGCGGATGACGGACGAGCAGATCGCGCGAGCATTGGCAAAGCAAGAAGAGTTGGGTATGGGTGGCGACGAGCTGCTCTTGTTCGACGGCCAAATTGATGAAGATGACGAGATTGATGACGACGACGACGAGTTTGCAGCCGGCGATGGGTTCATCCCTTTTTCCTCGAAGAAGCACATTTCCAGCCGTACCAAGTCAAAGAAAAACAGACGCGAGCGTGACAGTTTCCCCTCTGCAACTGCTTTCGCCGATGCCCTTGATCAGGATCCATACGGGGCCTTTGACATTATGGATTTTGACCGACCCAGTCTCCGACCTAAGAAAAAGGGACGCAAGTCGGACTTGCCTTTCGACCTCGGTGTCGAGGATGAGGAACTCGCTGAACGTCTTCGCAACACCTGGAACAAGGACCGGGAAAAGAAGGCGGCCCGCAAGCGCGAGAAGCTTCAGGAGCGCGAGGCTGCTCTTCTAGAAGCATCTGAACGCAGTCATCCTGTCGCCATCAAAGCAGAAATCCGACAATTTTTGGTTGAGGAAGTCACGACGCTGAAGCTGGCGCCTATGGATGCTGCAACTCGGGCTTCAGTCCATCGGCTTGCCAAGTCGCTCAAGTTGCAGTCAAAATCCGAGGGCAAGGATGGCCATGGCATAGGGCGCTACCCTATCTTGACCAAGGGGCCGCATACTCCCCGATACACGATTGATACGGTTTGGGAGATCGACGCTTTGATGAGCCTCGGAAAGTTCTTCCCAAGGACAAGAATCAGTGCCTACGAAAAGCGCGGTACACCAAGATCTAGCACGGCGAAACCCAGGAGAGGGGGTGGTGGAGCCGCGTCTGGTGCCACGTACATGAACGGTGACATTGTAGGAGCGTCTGCCCCAGAGATAGGTGCGGACAATAAAGGTCGGGCGATGCTGGAAAAAATGGGCTGGGTAGAAGGCGTGGGACTAGGCGCCATCGGAAACAAGGGCAGTCTCGAAGCCATCAAGCACGTCGTAAAGACCACAAGGGCTGGACTAGGCTAGACTTCTGGTCGGTTTGTCGACGGTTGGGTTCCAATGTCTAGGCTTGTGCTAGCAGATATCAGTGAATCTGGTTTATTTTGTCTATCCACCTGGTTGCCCGCATGTGGAGAGTATCCTGTAAGAGCTTCTGCCTGGTGTTTGGGCTCGAGGGAGAGAGCTGGGCTGGATGTACCGAGTACAGAAGCCTAGCGCATCAGCGGCATTAATTAGCAACACCGGCCAATAAACCAGCTTTGAATACGGCCGCCTGCCATTTTCAGAAGGAGTCCAATTGCAACCCACCCATGCCATGGCATTGCACTTTAGATCTGCAAATAGCCGAAGCTTCAGCTGCCGTAAGGTAGGTAGGGTATAAAAGAAGCCCCAAAGGCCTCAGAAGCATGGCGTCCTCCGAGGATCCATTGCTACGCACCAGCACACCCGTATCGACCTTCCACGATGAACGTCGTGATTGTCGGCGCTGGCATCGCTGGCCTCTCGTCAGCATTGGCTCTCACCAAATGGCTTCCCGACAAACCACACATCACCATTATTGAAATTCGCCCACGGCCCTCAACAATCGGCGGTGCCATCGGACTGACACCGAATGCCCTACGCTGCCTGCACCACCTTGGAGCCCTACCACATATTCGAGCAAGGGACTTGGGGATCGACATAGACAAGATTGAACTGTTCACCATCTACACGGGCGCCAGACTCGGTGACATTAACTTCACCGGCAACAACGGTGTCGGAGTAGGCGAGCCCGCATTCAAGGGACTCAGAATCCTACGCGCAGACCTGGTGCAGTCACTTACTGAGACTGTCAAAGCTCTCGACAACGTTGGGCTGGAGTATGGCTGCAAACCAGCCCAGATTGTCGAAACTGGCAGCCAGGTAACTGTTGTTCTGGATGATGGTCGGACACTGAGCGCGGATTTGCTTCTCGGGTGCGATGGGATTCATTCGTTTGTCAGAACCAGCCTCGTCGACCCTGAGAGAAAACCGCTGTACACCGGCATAGCTGCAGTGTTCGGGTTTGCAGACCTGCAGGAAGGAGCAACGGTTCCTTGGAAAGACACAGGCTTGTGCCAGTCACAGCGCGGCAGTCTCATGACCACCTACTACGAGCCGACTAGGAAGAAGCAATTCGTGGCAGCTATCACCGAGACGAAAGACGTTGAGTCAAGGGAAGGTTGGCTGGCCCGCAGCGCTGAACAAGAGAGGATTAAGCAGGACGTCAAAACTCGATTTGGTGGCAGTGCCATCGGATTCCTCGAACCCCTCATGGCAGCAGCAGATCATTGGACTCTCTATCCTGTCTACAAGCTCGCTCCAAGGGGCAATTGGTGCTCGAAACGCACGATGCTACTGGGGGATGCTGCTCATGCAATGCCGCCGCAAGGCGAAAGTACAGCTTATGCCCTGGAGGACGCCATCTTGTTTGCTCGTGCCATGGAATCCGGGTTTGATAGTGGACCGGACGAAGTCTTCCGCACATATGAGAAAGTCAGGAGGGCAAATATCGACAGGGCCTACCAAGAAGCCGCTTTTGGCTGGGGGACACAGAAAGACTGTGGCTGGTTCACATTCTTGCTGAGAAGCTGGCTGACGAGGGCTTATTTGTGGTGGACCGCCTCTGCGAGGGAAAGAAGATACAGCGAAGACGTTGCGGCCATGGTCTTGGACTAATGTGCTTCTCAACCGTCATGGAATATCCCTACGAAGTTAAACGCAAATGAGCAAGCTGTTCATGAAACCAATCGCAGAAAACTTACACCATGTACATCAACTACGGCCCACTAACATCTCGCGAAGGCAGAGTCTCGACTCATCAGACCGTCTTGATCTGGACTAGAACCAGCATTGGTGTGCGCATGGGGACCTTGTTTCATGCCGAAAGGGGATTCCCTTTACAATTCTGCGGCCGATATCTCCCATTCCCTGTGCTTCGATCGATGATATCTTCCAGGCTATCCCCGAAGTTGTCCAGGTTATCGCCCCGATCATCGTCGAGCTCGGACGCGGGCAGGATCGAGTTTTCGGGATAGATTCGACTGTGGCTTCAGGGCATTGGTGGATCTGGCTGTCAGATCTCGCCTGACCAAATTCATATCTGGGATCTCTCAGCCTTGGGCCCAGTGGGGCTGCGAGATGCGCGGAGTATAGTACAGGGGCTCAATGTTTCAGGACAGGGGTTCTATGCACCCTTGAGATTTAAGGACAAATCAGCAATGTACCTTTCCAAATCCAAATCCAACCGCCTCAATCTCTCGGAGGCCGGCACGAGGCTTGCTCAGATTGCATTGGCCCTGCTGGTATGGGCCACCATGGTACTGAGGCGAGCTACTATACTGGGAAACATGTTGCCACAACGCCTTCGCTTGGGTTCAAAACAACTTCAGATTTTGGCACAACATCCCGACCCTGGCGATTGCGTGGGCCTCCCTGGGAAATATGTTTCAACACGATACCAGGGATGGGATCATATTTCATAATACCCTGGTCTCCCATACTGCTCCCGGATTCTTCAAGCTGACAGCAGCTGCCGTTCTTTACACTCGTCGATCGAGGCCCATTCATTTCTTCTGTGGGTTCCCACGCTTTGTCCTTTCTCTGTCACCTGTGTCAGAAGCTCGAAAGGGTCCTCGATATTTGTGAATCAAGGAGAATGCGTCAGTCAATTACCACTTCCTTCCTTCTCCCGGGTATCTTTCTCGCCTGCCCTTCAGCGAGCTCTACGACCTCACCAGGCCCGTGGGAACAATGTATGTAGACATCTGAAGCCTCATCAATCCAACATCCTCACTCTCATCAGGTGGCGGTATCAATTGGACCGGTGGCACGACTTGTGTATCAGGCTGGACCTGCATAGAGCAGAACCCTTATTATTCCTAGTGCCTGCAAGCTAGCGACACCCCATCTTCTCCCCGACCCGCAACTTCTTCACCACCAGTCGTCCAACCTGTCTCGTCTAGCCCGTCGCCGTCCAGCAGCCCAACAAGTGCCAGCAAGCCAGCAGCTTCCACTAGCCCAGCTTCCAGTGGTGGAGGCCCGACTTACAAGGCATCGTTCACTCACTACGGTTCCGGCGACAGCTTTGGCTCGCCGAATTGCAATACCAATACGGCCGCCTGCTTCTTCTATACCTCTCCCGGCTTCAGCGCAGCCGTGTCTCAAAACCTCTACGGCGCAGGACCTGGCCAGGGTCAAGGTCCCGCTTGTGGCACATGCTGGAAGCTGGTCGGGGAGACAGACTCGTCTGGTAACACCCTCAGCAATGTCGGAACGAGCATCGTGGTCATGATCAACAACCTCTGCCCGGCCGACGGCAACCCCCTGTGCGCCCAGAACGGTCTATCAGGCACCAATCAGTACGGGCCAACGTCAACTTTGATCTCTGCAGCGACAGCGGTGCCTCCGAGGCGTTCTTTGGGAATAGTGGCGTCGGTCTTGCCGTTGGTACGGCCACGCAGGTTGATTGTTCAGAGTGGTCTGGAACTGTCGTCCATTAGACGAGCAGGCCCAGATGCTATACCGAGTGTGCCGCCGACTTCTGTTTACGATTTTATTCCAGCTAAGCCTCAGGGTTGAGGAATCATGACAGTTTCATTCTTCGGAACGTGGCATCGGAGGACACCAGACCGTGATGCCCGTTCCTTGGGCAATTTATTATCCCTCGGATATTATAGGCTTACGAGCTTAGCTGCTGGACGAGACGCGACGGCGTCAAACACCCAGGAAGGTATCTGTTCCCGAAGACGTTTGAGCTTTCCCGTCGATTCACCTCCTCTCTGTCCTCTTCCCTTCGACGACTGCCTGGGACCGACATGTACAGGTGTACACGGGAATGACTGAGAAGTCATGCCGCGCATTGGCTGATTCGAGAGTGCCTCACGAGTGGCTTGCTTCCTTGGGGTATTAATATGTAGTTGAGTTGACAAAGCTGTATTCGGCCGATGCACAGCCCTTTATCGACATCGTCAGGGAAACGAGGGACGGAATCTCCGCAGCCTCGTCCTTTCCCCCTTTTCGTCGTCTTGCTGGGAGACTCCTCGATTTGAGCATGCGAGCGGACTTGCTGTCTTAGGCACTCTCCTGTGTTGCTAGATTCAATGTAGGGAGTCTAATTGCTCTATTCCGCTAATAGGAGGCGAATGACGATCCCGTAACGAGTCAGATTTCTTGTTTGGCCTCGTCGATATAAGCACACATACGTCCTATTGAGCCATGGGTGCTGGACGGCGTGAGTACGTACATGTACTCTTTTCCACACTCTTAAACGTCCATCATGCAAAAGGGTCTCGTTCTCTAGTTGCCGCACACGGTCTGCGGTCGCAGGCGGTTTTGAGAGGACATGTCGGCAGGGGAAACAAGCAAGTTTATTATTTTTTTCCCCCTCTTCTTTCCTATATTAATTGTCTTCATTGTCTTTCGTTGCTACGGGTCGGTCAAGAACTACATTGCCGCACGCCGCTTCGGCCTCCCTCTCTCATCATCCCCCCTGCCTCCCTTGAAGATGCATGGTTCATCCTCCTCAGCCGGCGTTGAGACAGTGTCAAGGGTTGGGAGTGAGCGGGAGTGAAACATTCACGCCTGTGACGTTCATGGGCAAACCAGAACTGCACACTATGTAGGCCAACCTGCCCCGCCGGGGAGCGGATCTACAACAGGGACCTGAAGACGGGAATTATCATGCCCGAAGCCTTTTCTCAGGTGTTTACTACCTTCTACAAAAGCCAGAACATGTCGTCCCTGAACGGGCCGGAGTAGCAACAGACACCGCAAGATCACGGCGTCGAGGTTCAATAATGATCACACAATGCGCCATGTCTGGGAGCAGTCTCGCGCGGGGGCAGTCAAGGAAGAAGACAACAACCATCACCGTCCAACCGGGCACACTGATCTCAAGGCGCATTTCGACGCCGTGCACCTCTCGCCACGCGAGTACCTCGACGCATCATCATCAACACAGCCGGGCCCGATGGCGCAGAGGCGCAGGTAATGCCCTCGGACAAGGACCTCTTGGCGCTATTCATCCCCTGAGTCGCCGGGCCACGAGTCTGTCCCGGAAAGGAGTTCAGCCAGGTCGAGTTCGTCGCCGTCGTTCCCCAAGTCCTGTCGCTCTGTCGGGTCGAAGTGATGGACGCAGACGATGACATGCAGGAAAGGAAGTCAACGGGGTAAGAGAAGGGAACGGAAAGGCTGAGAAAGGTCCTGGATGAGAAGTTCTTCAATATCAGCACGCACATGGGGACGCCTGGGGATTGACATCCGTGAGGCGGCGTGCTTGGGCGGGTTTAAGAGTTATAGGCCAACCCGGAGCGAAAGCGCTGGCGCTGTGATCGAGGTACTGTTAACAATGCCCTTGCGAAAACTCGTGCTCGAGCCAGCCTCGGATTGCTGCTCCAGTGAGAACGAGTTCTAGCGTGTAATCTTTGTTGACGGCGTGTGTAGTGTACCGTTTCTTTCGAGGGCCTGTCGCCACGGTTTCGGGCAGAGGAAAAAGGGGGTGAACAAAATTGACATTCGCTGCTGCTGCTCAAGATGATCTTACAGCTCATCGAGATTACACGTCTCGAGAAGATCCTGGGTTAATTTCCCTTTCCTACTATACCCTTCGACATAGCGATCCCCCCACTCACCCACCGTATTGTCGTACGTCGTCTGGGGCTTTAGCTCGCAAAGATGGCACATGTTGGCTTTTAATCCCTTCATGAGGCCCAGTCTAGGATATTCCTGTGTTGAGCAAGGAGAGAAAAAGTCAGTATGCCAGCAAGATCTTCTCTGTCGATTTCTGGTAACGGTCATCTAGAACGCAGGCATGTTTTAATATGCATACCTTGACCACGGGGTTATACTCGTCCCAGCTCAACAGTCCGCCCGGCACCCTATCCGGTCCCTGGAAGTCTGCCCATATGCCATAACTACAGGCCTGCACCTCGGGCTCTTTCTCAAACACAATGGATCCAATTGTGTGCAGAGCTATCGCGTCCCACACCAGCTGCAACCTGTGCTTGTCCCAGTCTGGGGCCTCCTTCTTGAGGAAATTTCTCGCGGCGTTGGCCCCGTCAACTTCGAATCTCTTGTCCTTGGAGATGATCTCAGAGTGTGGCGGGTGGCCGATGGGGAAGCCCAGATCGTGCATGATGGCGGCTACGGCGTGGGCTTCGCGGTCTCGGTCGGGGAGGACTTTGTCGGCGATGATGAACCCAAGGAGAAAGGATCGGATAATGTGGTTGTATGTGTCGTCTGTCGAGTACTGACGCACATAATCTAGGGCTTTGGTGATGAGCGGCGTATCGGGTACCGTCACTCCTGCGACCACTTTCGTAGGCAAGGACTGAGAGGATGCCATGGACGTGAGCTGGGAAGCGAGACCTATCTTAAATCACAGCAAATCCCGTCGTGGGCCGATCAAAAGTAGAGTCTGAGCAGTTGTCTGAAGATATTACGAGTAGTACTCTGTACCGAGGAGTTGAACTCGTAGTCTGTGCTAATTTGACACAAGGATTCCTCGGAACCCGCAGTCCAATACAGCCCCTCCAGAGAGGGGTTTTTCGTTCCCGTTAGGAAGAAAATAGCAAGAATGATCCTGAACGTGTTCGACTCTGACAGGTACACAGGACCAGCGACGGGGGGAAGAGCTTCCTCGTTTCGGATGTAGCTTTCGGGACGGATCTCTCAAGCTCTGCGCCGAGGCGGGTCAACAGAAAATACCCCGCGCTAATCGAGGTCGCTAGATCCTTGAGTGGACGGGGCTGTGGATGGTGTACCTGGAGTTTGGAAACAAAACCCACAGAAAGTCGGGCATCATTGGGTCAAGGCTGGGCTTTCTGGTGGGACGCCTGGTGAGAAACCGAATTAGCAGTGCCAGACCCAAAGCAACGCCCGTATCCGTCGAGCTTGCACCACATCCGCCTCCGACCGTTGACGGCATGCTTGACGAGTCAGTTTTGCACGGAACCCATGCCACGGGTCATGAGAGGAGATGTCTTGGTGTAATATCAGTGGTTGTGTGAACGAAATTGGAAAATAGGGCCCAACTTTCCGATAAAAACAAAGAACAAACGCCCTTTCTTTGTCATCCCGTGCCTTTTTGCTCCATCAAACTTTCCTGCTGATGGCTTCTCTTGATCCTACTCGGACCGTACCAAGTTCTGCCGCTGCTCGGTCGGCTCACGAAGAGGGAGAGCCTCGCCAAGCAGACATTGTCGACGTACGCGTTCTCTGCCGCGGAGCCTCCTCTTGTTCGCGGTAATAACGGAATATCTCTAGGTCGATGAAGACGCCGACTCGGCTTTTGAGGATGGTGATAATGTTTCGTGAGTTTCAGGAATGCCCGGATTAGTAATAATGGCTGAAACGAGGCTTTGGAAGGGAAACGACCTCCGTTGCGTCCTCGATATATCGCGGTCGGATGATAAATGGCAGAAAGTTGACAACCCTTCCGATGGGACTCTGGGTGCGGGCATTCCTTTCGCTGACGAATGTAGATACTCGTCTCTGCGAGATGACTATTGGTATGGCTTTCCCTTGGCGTCTGAGTAGGCAGCGCTCACCAGATTGACAGGGGTCCCTCCGATGAGCAGCAGTACGAAACACTCAATGCTGGGTAGGTGTATTTCAAAAGGCCGAATGAGCATGGTGTTGAGAGGGATCTCCTAGCCATGTGCTTTACCTCGTCCTGGATGGCAATCAACCGAATCCACTGTTTCGATCACCTATAACGTCGCCACTGGTACGCCCCCTTCAGCGAACATTCTTCACCACCAGAGGCGGATTCCTTCTGATTTGCGCATTAGTATGTCCTCGATATAGGAACGGGACCTGGGACCTGGGCCATGTAAGGCAGAACCCTCTTTTCGTTGGATGCACACCTTCTCACGGATCAAAGCGATGTTGCCGATCAATTTCCGGCTGGTAGGTCAAGATGAAATGAACCTCCGTCGACCAGGCTAAAACAGACCCAGCAACCGTGTATGGTGTTGACCTTTCTCCTCCGCCAGCAACGTGGGTACCTCCGAACTGCTTTCTCCAGGTGAATCGAGAATGATCGGATCGGTAGGGCGCGAGCTAACAGAGTGCAGGTGGACGATGTCCTCCAGGATTGGACGTGGAGGGAAGAATTTGATCTGATCCACATGCGCCTGATGCTCGGAGCCTTTACAGACACCGAATGGGGCGCAGTCTACCAAAAATGCTTCGACAACCTGAGATCCGGGGGATACATCGAGCAAATCGAATTGGACGTGCGGGTAATGTCTGATGACGGCTCTCTCGACCCGGACTCGCTGTTAGCTGGGTGGGGCCAGAACTTCCTCGACTGCGCGCAACGAGCAGGCCGTCCCTTGGACACACAGTTGACCATGAAGGCCAAGATCGAAGCTGCCGGATTCGTCGACGTCCAAGAACATCTGTACAAATGTCCGATCGGGGCCTGGCCAAAGGACCCGCTCCTCAAGGACGCTGGCAGAATCAATCTGACCCATTGGAGCTCTGGTCTGGAAGGATGGGCCATGTTTTTGTTGACGAGATGGGGGGCTCCTGAGCCCTGGACTGCGGATGAGGCCCGAGTATATGTCGCCAAGGTGAGGGAGGAACTGAAGAAACGGCGGCTGCACATATGGCATTATACGTAAGTCTTCTTGAGCCAGTGTCGACACCCAACTATCTGACCGCGGCAGTCGACGTGTTTGGGGCAGGAAACCATGACGGCGCGTGGCTGAGTTACGATGTAGTAGCGTACGGTTAGTGATTGCATTGGAAAGGGAGGGCGCCGAAAGTAATGATTGGCCATGTCGTTATAGGGGTTGGCTTTGTTCATGCATGTCTTGGGGTGAAATTGGTGTTTGCCCTGTCTAAATACTTCTTGTAGTTCATGGTATGTGGATGCCATGTAAAAGCCGCTCTTCGAAAGCCGTCAGTGCTTTGGCCGAGTTGCGTATATGATGAAGATGTTGATGACCAGAACCTGTCGAAGAGGAGAGAGCACTATTGTGGGAGTAAGGACCTTGAGGGCCGAAACAGGCTCAGTTACTGGGAGAATGAGCGAAAAGCTTGGCAGGAGCTCGCGGCCTCTTCCGTGACCTTCGCACCACCAACACCGTGTTCTGGTTCCAAGTCCTCAGAGACCCTTTTATGGCTTCCTCTCCTGGGGTCCTCTGGTCGCCGAAGCTTCTAATGTGAACCTTTTGGGTCACTAGGCTGGCCTCAGCGCACTGTGTATAAAAGCACACGTTGACCCGGCGCAGAGTCCTATGTACTGAAACCAAGACAGACGCATCTCGCTCACAGTTCACTCATCGTTACTGCTACTGCTCGGTGTTCACTTCCACAGTTTCAGGTCTAGACTCTTGGGAGAACCGATATTCGGCAAAACCTACCACCTCTCAGCACACGCTCCTCTCTCTCACACACACTCGAGGCGCACCAGGAACCCACAATGTTCGCCCTTATCCTCATGATTACCATGGTGGGATCAATTGTCGCGACGATAAGCGGCGTGATGCCAAAATTTACCCACCTGTTTTAAACAGATGATGGTCCAAGACTCGGAACAGAATGATTGCCAGGAAACATTGAAGTGGAAAAGACGGGCACGATGGGAGGCCTGGGAGATTGATTGGGGGAAAAGAGAGTGGAACAAATTGGGACACTGGGTGGCATTCATTTCATTCATTCACAGGACTATAGCTGCCATCATGAGCAGAGCGACCCTCTACTATCCATTAAAGAAATACGTTTACACCTAGTCCGAACGTTGTCCTATCTTGTTCTGCCGATCACCAATCATCATTTGACTGGAGGTTGGTCTTAGTCCCTCCACTGGACGCCAGCTACTACTGCCGGCGCCGTACCGCGCACGGACTGTCCCACTGGCGAGGAAAGTCTTCGGATGTAGCAGCCTGATTCAGTCAATTTTGTGACGCGTTTAGACCTCCTCGACCAAGAATACTACAAGAAAGACGCTCAACACGTCGTCGTCGCCGAACCCCTTGGTCCACGCCCTGGATGAGCTGCCAGGTTTTCACTCATTAACCTTGAGGGGGTTGAAACCCAAGATGGAAAGTCGACAGATTTCCCTTCCAGTTCGTCGACAGCCTCCCAGAAGCGGGACAAGAAGCCAAACCAAGAATACCAAAGCTGTGCAAGGAATAGTGAACACCCAGAAACAAGCACGGCGAAGAAAGTTGCTGGAAGGAAAGCCATAGGGCCGCGATCGTTTTCGCTAACGCTGCCATTGCCAAATTTGCTTGCCATTTCACCACGCGATATCAAATTCAAGAGCTGGCAGGAGTACGAGCATTGCATTCGCTATCGCCTCTATGGAATGTAAATTGAGCCGCGAGTCTGTAATTCCAACCAATGCAGCCTCCGTGCACTCACTAACGTTCTCCCTGTACCGCCAATGTCGACTTGGCAGGGAGTAAGGAAAGGTGTGGGTTGCCTTCTGTTCTCTTATGCCAAATCAAACCCGAGTTTGGGTTAGTCTGAATTTCGCATCACATTGGCTCCGAGGAGTCTGGAGTCGGGGTGACGCATAGAGAGGACTACTAGGACGAGGGTAGATACTCTAAAAACCCAGTGAAGCGGGAAGAGCAGTCAAGCAAGGTAATTACATAGGGTAGATTCTACAATCCTCTCCCAAAATCGATCAATAAATATACGTAAACTCATCATTCTTACCATCCGTGAGATCCAAAAATGCGTTCTCGCCCAGCCGCTGCCCATTCTCAGTCTCGTCCATGGCAACGTACTTGTCCTCCATCGAATGGTCCTTGATCTTGGCGGACTTGCCGTTCTTAACTCGTTTCCTGGACTGCAGCTTATTCAGGAAGATCAGGTTCGCCAACTGAATGAAGATGACGACAAACATCGTCACAAAGATTGCCAGAATCTTCCGCAGGCCGGGATGATAGGCAGGTGCGTCTTTCTTGTTGAAAAGGAGCGGGCCAATGATGTTGCCGGCGCTGGAGCCGGCGTTGTAGAGGGACATGATGACGGATTTCTTCGTGCTGCCTCCGGTATTGCCAACGATCCATGACACGATGAGTGGATTTCCGCCGAAAAGGAACGCGAGCAGATAATAGGCCACCAAGAGGCCTGCAGTGGAGCCTGAGGTACGGGGGAGAACATAGAGAACTGCCAGACCGGCAATGACTGGCAGCATGAGACCCGCGAGGACGAAAGACTTGAGCTTGGCCTTTTGAGCGGCATAGGAGGCGAGAAGGATGACCATCAACTGCATCGCACCAAAAGGCATGTTGAGCAGCGAGGTCTTGTATTTGTCGAAGCCGACACCTTGGAGAATGAGCGGGCCGAAAGTGTTGGTGACAGCAGCGCCCACGTTGAGCAGGAGAGAAAGTCCAATCCAGAGATATGTCTTGGGCTCCAGCGCCAGTTCGATAATGTGGTCCCATTTGTACTCCCGGTTGCCTGTGCCGGTTTGATTGGCACGAAGACGTTCAATGGCTTGGGCCTTTTCGTGCTCCGTCAGAAACCGCGCAGAAGGGATGTCGTCGTCGAGGAAATACCAAACAACTGGTGCAGTGACAATGGTGACAAGACCAACGAAAAGGAAGATGATCTGCCACTCCTGCAGGACATGTGAGGGGATATGGCCCAGGCCATAGGAGATTGCTGAAGCCGCAATTGTCGCGACTCCATTTGTGCCGTACCAAGCTGCGACTCGGATTGGCTGCTCTGCTCGGCGATACCACTGGCTGGTAATGACACTAAAAAGTGGTAAACAGCCGGCTTCAAACAGTCCAAGGAAGAAACGAGCTGCCAGGAGCGAGCCGTAATCATGGCAAGCAGCCATTGAAGCTTGAGCAATACCCCATCCGAGACAAAGGGCTGGCATGAGAATACGATGGGGCACCCGGACGATCAGGAAGGACGAGAATGGCTGCCAAGCAAGTTGCGCGATTGGAGCAATGGATCCTAGAAAGGAATATTGGTCGCCGGTGAGGTGTGTATCTTGGGTGAGGCCGAAAAGAGCGCCGTATCCGAGGACAGACTTGTCGAGGATCTGGAGGAAGTAGACCCAGACGAGGATAACGAGGATGACCTTGTCGGTCTTGCGCCGGATGCGTTTGTTCTATTCAAGCATGGTTAGGATCAACGTGTCGGCCGCTTGGGTCGAAAACCTACGTCTTCGTCAGTCAGCTCCACGCGCTGGTCTCCAACGATTGCAAGAGCTCGATCGCCATGCTTCACAGAAGCTCTGCGCTCAGTGATTTCCTTGGATGGGCGACCCGACTCGACATCTTCAGCGTGAGCCTCGTGGACGGTTTTGTCGTCGAGAGAAGCCATCGTCAAGTCAAGGTAGTAATACGATGTTTCTGAACGTCGATGGTGTGCACTAGTATCCCACGAAGACCAAGGGGTGACTTTGGTGAGAAGACAAATGGAGGAAGTGACAAGAACGTATTTATACAACCAAAATCCTCCTCGCTTAGATGAGGAGCAGGAAACGAGGTCGGAAATTCTGGAGGTTGAAGCTGGAGCAAGATATCAAAGGTGTGGGGTCTGGGCGCGCATCATTTACCTTTGGATGCACTCCGTACATCTGGCAAAGACCGAGAAATGCGCGGAGCACACTAGTCCAACAGACTGTCTGGGGTTGAGGCGTGCTGGGCGGACAGCTATTGGAGGCATCGAAGCCATTGCAGGGTTGGATGGTATCTCGTGCGCAACCCCGCAACTGTGATCGGCAATTGAAAAGGCAGGGAATTGGATGGATGCACAACGAGAATGGCCAACAGGAGGCCTGTCACCGACCCGTCGGCAACGGGGAGGATACGGGCATGACCGGTTGAAACTCCCGTGGTGGCCGTAGAGGAGACTTCACATGTTGGCATGGGGATGAAGTCAAGGTCGTCAGGCTGACAGCACACCTTGTCCTTCGTCCGTCGTGGGGGTGGCGCTATCTCACGAAAGCTTCCCCACGATCACGAAAGTTGGGGGCCAAGCGTTTCCTATGTTTGTGGCCAGGCGTGGCAGAGAGTGAATGTGAGTGGTCGAGATTCCATCCAAAAAACTGCTGGGCTCAGACAAACACAAAACAGCGCCGCCACGAGGCTGAACAGGGCGACTCCGCTAGCCCCGTTGGAACAAAAATGCATTGTTGGATTGATGGCGTATGAGAGAGGCGGCCTTGGCATCTATCTGTCCTGTCACTCAGGTCCTTCGTTCCATCCGCAGAATTCTGGACATTTTCCTCGTGGTCAAGCTCCCTGTCTCACTCCACTCATTCTAACTATCGACCTGTCCGTCAGAGAAGATGAAAGAAAACATTAACGTTCGGCAACGTGAATTCTGCTTCTCCAAGGTCTACAGTTTCAGCTTTGAGAGATACCATGATTGGTGGGAATAGTCTGTGACGCACATATTAGCAAGGAGATTGTCTGGTTGCACAAGAGCGTGAATGTGCTCAAGAACCACTTATTCGATCAGCATATGTCGACAAGAGTTGTCGGTCCGTACAGATATTCTCATAGGTTTAGGGGAATCTTAGTTACTCAGAGGGTTACTACTCTTGACCCACGCTGGCCTTGTATTTCATCCTCCACCATTTCTCTTGATCAGCCCTGTTCCCCAAAGACCAAAGCTCGCTATCTCCCAGACTCTCCACCAA